ACAGGGTAGGTGCGTAGATGGGGTGGGATGCGAATCACATAGGATGGCCCATCCGGTTGATCTCCTATCACATCTAGGACCTCCCACGGACCGAAGAATTGTGGCATCAATTTTCTAGAGATTCCTAGCTCCTGACCAAGTTCAGATGCTTTTACCCAAACTCTGTCACCTACCTGGAAATTAGAAGGTCGTCTATGCTTATTCTCAGATGCTATCATTGCATCTTGAGTTTTTCTAATGTGCTCTACGGCTTGCTGCAACATCTATTCATACTTAACAGCAAACTCTATGCTGCCAGGTGCTGCAGTGGATTCTCTTTCCGGCAGTAAGAAGTCCAAGGCAGTTCTAGGCTTCCAACCAAGATGCAGTTGGTTGGGAGTCATTCTGGTAGCACTGTGCACTGCGATATTATACAAGCTGGTGACGAGAGGTAACTTCTCGTCCCAGTCATCCTGACCTGGCTTGATGTAGTGCCGCAGCAAATGCTGTACCACTCGATTCATTTGTTCTGCCTGTCCATTTGACTCAGGATGATTCCCTGATGTCATCTGGAGTTTGGTTCCCATTTGTTTAGCTGTAGACTGCCATAGCTCGCTGGTAAATCTTACATCCCTGTCGATTACGATAGACGTAGGTAGACCGAAATCCCTTACCCAGTTATCCATAAACAGTTTGATGACGTGATCTGTCTTTGCTGTCTCCGGCATAGCGATAAGTCTGGCATACTTAGTAAAGCGATCTACTATGACGAATACGTGTCGTTTGCCGGTTTTGCTGGTCACAAGAGTGTCCATAAAATCCATAGAGACACTCTGACCTGGACCTTCAGGGATCGGCAAGGGCTTGATCAGCCCAAGCGGAGCCCGAGTCCTGGGTTTGTCTCTTTGACAAACCTGACAAGTCTCGACATACAGTTTTGCATCCTTCATCATAGAAGGCCACCAAAACTTCTGTACTAAGTTTGCTGATGTCTTCTTATAACCGAAATGACCTACAGCATCATGACATTCTCCTAAAAATAAACTACGCAAAGAGTCACTATTCGGGACACATAGTCTTTTAAACCCTGCCTTTTCAAGGAACAGCAAGCCATCTACCATGGTAAATTCGTCCAAAATCTTCTTGTCCTTTGCTTGGAATTTACGAATGATCTCTGACATAACTGTATCTCCCTGATAGGCTTCCACCAGCGATCGAGTAAGATCATTAGATATGCCGAATTCAGTTACTAGTGCGCCTAGATAGTCTGCCCTTCTTGACAGCGCATCTGCCACTTTGTTATATGGACCTTTGATAGGATCAAGTTGATAGTCATACATATCTATCACTTGAATACATCCCTTGAGTGCGTCAGACAACACGGGTTGCGTCTTAATCCAGCGCAGAGTCTCATGGTCAGACCTCACATAGAAAAATATCCCTAGGAGGTAATGTCGCCAATGAACTAGCGCTCTATATAGGGCGTAGAGCTCTCTTTCATAAGTGGACGCAGCTAGCTTCTTGGAAGGCATCTTCTTACTCATATACTCGATCGGTCTCAACTTTGGCCCCTCCTGTTGTGCAAGGACAGCGCCAATGCCATATTGGTTGGCGTCTGTTATCACGACAAACGGCTTGTCAGGATCGGGAAGTTTGAGAACTTCATAGTGTGTTAGAGCATACTTCAATTGCTTGAAGCTTGCCTCACACTCTTCAGTCCACTCCCAAGGGGTGTCAAGTCGAGTAAGATCTGTCAATGGGGAAGCTATAGTACTATAGTTTTTCACAAACGGACGATAGTAGACCGTCATCCCCAAAAACGATCTGACCTCAGTAACAGTTTGAGGTCTGGGCCAGTCACGTATGCTGGCCACTTTCGCATCTTCCGGCCTCAATCCATCTGCTGAAATTTCATGACCCAAGTACAAGATCTTGGCGCGACCAAACTCGCATTTATCCAAGTTTACCTTGTACTGGTGCTGTCTTGGGAGACCTAGCACTATTTTCAAGTGCTCAGCGTGCTCCTCTACAGTCCTACTGAAGATGAGAATATCGTCGAGGTACACGACGATAAACTTGTCCAAGTAGTCATGAAAGATCCTATTCATCGCGTGCTGGAACGTACCAGGCGCATTGCATAGGCCAAAAGGCATCACCACAAACTCGTACAGACCGTACCTGGTCTGAAATGCGGTTTTGTGTTGGTCCTCAGGCCTAACGGCAATTTGATGGTATCCGGACTTCAGATCTATCTTTGTGAAGTACCGACATCCCTGCACTCTACCCAAGAGGTCGTCAATGCGGGGTAGGGGCTTCGCGTTCTTTACGGTGATGGCATTGAGGCCCCTATAGTCAATGCACATCCTTAATGGACCTCCCTTCTTAGGAACAAATAAGA